AAAGACCGAGGCCTTAACTATTATTGTGATATTATTTAAAATACATAAATAATGATATTTATTACTATATTCTGGGGTACACAAAATTTAAATTCGCTAGTTACTGCAGTAAAATAGGTTAAGCATATATTTTGTGTAATTTTTCTTTCAATTGAAATTTTATTAATGTTTAAAAAGGAATTGAGACGTAGTAAAAAAAAAAAATTTAGTTCTCTTCTCCCTAGACTTCTGAGACAGCAAAAGAAAAAGTTCGAGGCCTTAACTATTATTATATAAAATACATAAACAGAGATGTATTATTATATTCTCGAACACACAAAATTTAAGTGCTATAGTTACTGTAATAAGATAGTTTGAGCATATATTTTGTGTAAATTTTCTTGCAATTGAAATTTTATTAATGTTTAAAAAGGAATTGAGACGTAGTAAAAAAAAATTTAGTTCTCTTCTCCCTAGACTTCTGAGACAGCAAAAGAAAAAGTTCGAGGCCTTAACTATTATTATATAAAATACATAAACAGTGATGTATTATTATATTCTCGAACACACAAAATTTAAGTGCTATAGTTACTGTAATAAGATAGTTTTACTGTAATAAGATAGTTATTATTATTATTTCTTTTTGTAACTTTACTAGAAGTGATAACAACTTTGGTATTTTATTCAGCTTCTTTTCATTAGTAATATATAAATTACATATTTTTTTTATACAAAATTATAAATATTAGGCCAAAATAATTATAATTTTGTATAACAAGTATATTTGAATTGATAAAAAACTCATCCATACTAATTAGCATTAAATTTTTTATCTCCTTCTCTCCCTCTCTCTCTACCATTCTTAATAAGAAACATGTTGTCACTATATAATTTTTTTTAACTTAATTAGAAATGATAACAAGTTTGGTATTTTATTCAGCTTCTTTTTCTTTACTAATATATGAATTATATTTTTTATACAAAATTATATGTATTAAGACAAAATAATTATAATTTTGTATAACAAGTATATTTGAATTGATAAGAAACTCCTGCCATACTGCACCAGCATTAAACTTTTATCTCCCTCTCTCTACACCATAATTAATAAGAAAAAATGCTGTCGCTGTATCAATCTTTTCTTTTTTTTTTTTTTTTTTTTTAACTTAACTAGAAATTATTATAGCTTTGATATTTTATTCACCTTCCTTTTCTTTATTAATATTTAAATTATATTTTTTTATACAAAATTATAAGTATTAGGCCAAAATATTTATAATTTTGTATAAAAAGTATAGTTTGTATAAAAGTATAGTTGATATATAAATATAAAGTTTTGCTTTAGTTAACTAATTTATCCATTGAAAGGAAATTACTACGAGTTTAAGAAATAAGAAAAAAATCTTAATAAGAAAAAATGTCGCTGTAAGTTTCAAGAATTTAATATTTGGTACTCTAAAATTAAAAAATACTAAAAATAAGTAAAAGTAAGATAAAAAATTTGAATTTAAAAAAAAAAAAAAGCCGATCTCAGTTCTGGTATTTTAATTTAAAAAAAAAAAAAATGAAAAAAAAAAAAAAAAAAACCCGCAGCCGGCAGGATTCGAACCTGCGTGGGGAATCCCCTTTGGATTTAAAGTCCAACGCCTTAACCACTCGGCCACGACTGCTCTGTAAACTTTACAAGAAACAAAGTATAATAATAACGAAATATATTGTTGCAATCAATTGAAGTAAAGAAACCAATCTTATAAGGATATACATCCTATAAAGAATTTTATAACGAAAAGGGGATTTCCTCGCTGAAAAACAAAATTATCAAAATAATAAATTTTGTTAATTTTTACATGCTTATACATCATCATCATCAATAGCACGACATCCCAGGGTGGGCCAAGGATTTCCTTTGAAGAGATTTCCATGCATTCTTCTGGGTGCCAATGGTCTTCCAATTCTTAACCTTTAGTACAGCAAATATTTTTCAACTGCGTCTGTCATCGCCACTTGGGTCGTCGCATTTGTCCCTGTGGCTTTGCTAAAACAAGCCTTTTTACAGTGTTTAACATTAACAAGTAACCTTAAAAATGGAATCCATGGTTAAATTTAATAATGTTTACCTTGACGTGAGATACAGTTTCATATGTCATACTTACAATTGGCCCAAATATGCATATAATTTCACTTCATTCATGAGGCCAATTTAGACAAATTCATAGCAAAGACTTCTACTCGAAGTTTGACTGCAGCTAAAATTATAAGGAAGTTCTACATAAATTTATGACGACTGTATTTTGACTCTCACTAAATTTAATCAAATATATATTTAATGAAGAATGATTAAAGTACTGATTAAAAGTAATTAAAATATGAAAGAATAATACAATAAATTAAAAATATAAGTTATTAATCTAACTATTATTATAGTGATATTATTTAAAATACATAAACAATGCTATTTATTGTTATATTCTGGGGTATACAAAATTTATGTGCAATAGTTGCTATAGTAAAATAGTTTAAACATATATTTTATATAATTTTTCTTGCAATTGAAATTTTATGAATGTTTAAAAAAAGAATTGAGATAAAGTAAAAAATAAATGAGCTTTCTTCTCTCTAGACTTCTGAGGCAGCAAAAGAAAAAGACCGAGACCTTAACTATTATTATAGTGATATATAAAATACATAAACAGTGATGCGTATTATTATATTCTCGAATACACGAAATTTAAGTGCAATAGTTATTGTAGTAAGATAGTTTGAGCATATATTTTGTGCAATTTGTCTTTCAATTGAAATTTTATTAATGTTTAAAAAGGAATTAAAACATAGCAAAAAAAGTTAGTACTCCTTTTAGTAAGTTTAAGTAGTTCTGTTAGTAGTTTTAAAAGTTAATAATTAAGTAGTTCTTCTCTCTAGAGAGTAAAAAAAAAGCCCGGCCTTAACTATTATTATAATGATATTATTTAAAATACATAAAAAAATGATATTTATTATTATATTCTGGGATACACAAAATTTAAATGCAATAGTTACTGTAGTAAGATAGTTTTAGCATATATATTGTGTAATCTTTCTTGCAATTGAAATTGTATTAAAGTTTAAAAAAAGAATTGAGCCATAGTAAAAAAAAGTTAGTAGTTCTTTTATTAAGTTTAAGTAATTCTGTTATTAGTAAGTAAGTAGTTTTAAAGTTAATAGTTAAGTAGTTCTTCTCTCTGGACTTATGAGACAGCAAGAGAAAAAGACCGAGGCCTTAACTATTATTGTGATATTATTTAAAATACATAAATAATGATATTTATTACTATATTCTGGGGTACACAAAATTTAAATTCGCTAGTTACTGCAGTAAAATAGGTTAAGCATATATTTTGTGTAATTTTTCTTTCAATTGAAATTTTATTAATGTTTAAAAAGGAATTGAGAC